TACGCGCTGGTGCCCGGCCTGACTGCTGCGGACGTGCTCTCTGCTGATTATTTGCGGCCGTAGACTGCTGACTCCGTGCTGGATGTGATGCGGCAGGCTGATCCGGAGCTCTAGGTAAAACAGGCTCGCTGCTAGGGTTTGTCGGGCAATGCCTCCTGAAATGCCCTGGCTGGCCACAACCCAAACATAAGCCTTGGGCAAGCCAACACTCGCCCGGGTGATGCCTACCACACTGTACCCATTGCGGGTGGCTCCTCGTTCTGTTCGAGTTGCTAGCGGCGACCGACGGAGACGGCCTCGACTTACTCCTCTTAGGCGTCGGCGCACTCGAAGAACCCTTCTCGTACCTCTTTCCCCCGAATCCAAAACTCTTCCCGCTCGGCCCGGTGCTGGCCGCGGGTCGCGGGTCTTTCGTCGCTCGATCCTTCTTCTTGGTTGCCTGCAGATCGTCCAAGCTCTTTTCCGTCTTCACAATCAAATCATACGCCGCATTAAAATCTGTCGTCGTGATTAGTGCGGCGTACGGCCTTAAGTCCGGCCGTAGCTTCTTGACGAACTCATTCAAACGATCCTCCGGAGTGGAGACCAGACTCGTCGCATACTGGGACAAGTAGTCGAACCTCTGTCTCAGTTCAGGCAGTGACATCCCCTCCTGCTTAAGCGCAACGAACTCATCGCGCCTCTCCTCGCGGTACCGGGTGGGGACGTACTCCTTCGTGAAGGCTCGATCAAAGCGATCCCAGGTCCACGGCTTGGGCGTGTGTGGATCCTGGTCAATGCGCTTCCACCAATCATATGCTCCCTTCCGGAACATCTGTGATGCCAACTCCGAGCGATCAGCATCTGGGACTCTCAAATTCTTGAGTACCCGGTCCATCTGCTCAAGCCAATCCAATGCAATCTGGGGCTCCCCCACATTGTCTCCTCGGAACTCTTCCGCTCCATTATCCTTCAACATCTTGAAGGTAACGATGCGCGGCTGCGGCTGTGGTGGTGGCGGTGGCTGGAACATGGGCATAAACTGCGCCATGTGCTGCATATAATGGGCCATCATGGCCGGGAACATCTGCTCGTAGGCCACCGGCGGTATCGCCAACGGTGGCATCACTGGAGGT